TTCGACTTAGCCGGCATTTAAAAATGGCCCCAGCCGGCTTCATGCAAATGGAGCCCGGGAAATTCAAATCCCGGGCTTGATTTGCAACTGCGGATGACTACATTACCCCGCTAGTTCGAACTAGGGGGGTAGTGTAGACATACCCCAGGAGACTCACCGGCCAGCAGCCCAGCCAGCCTGCCTGCCTGCTGAGCTAAATGCTTGCAGAGCTGCAAAGGTTTCTCTGCCTGCCTGCACTGTGCTTGCATGGCCATGTGCCGTGTGAATAACTGAGCCGGAGGGGAGAGGGCGTGGTGTTTCTTGGCTGCCTGTTACTCAAACAGGCAGCTCCCATTGGCCAGTTTCACGCCAGGCCCCCCGCGGGGCTGAGCTGAACACACGCCCGGCAAGGGGTGGTGTGCGGAAGGCCCTCTGGGCTACCCGGGTGTGGGACATAACGTGCTTGCATGGCCATGTGCCGTGTGAATAACTGAGCCGGAGGGGAGAGGGCGTGGTGTTTCTTGGCTGCCTGTTACTCAAACAGGCAGCTCCCATTGGCCAGTTTCACGCCAGGCCCCCCGCGGGGCTGAGCTGAACACACGCCCGGCAAGGGGTGGTGTGCGGAAGGCCCTCTGGGCTACCCGGGTGTGGGACATAACTTGCTGGCTCCGGTGGTTTGTGGGGAATCCTGCTGGGCCTGAGGGGAGGCCTGGAGCCGGGTAGTGATCGCAGGCGAGCGGGGGGGTTTATGTCTCCCCTCCTCAGCTCTCAGCCCGCAGCAGCGTGGAGGATGCCAGCCCGCTCTCGCTGGGGAGTTAAACATGGAGATCCGCTGTGGCGGCCTCTTGTTCAGTTCCAAGTTTGACTCGGGGAACCTGGCTCATGTGGAGAAGGTGGAACACCAGGAAGGAGAGGGGGATGGGACCGGGAACAGCAGCACTGGCTTTGGCAGCTCCCTGCCTGCGGCCGACTACGAATTCAACGTGTGGACCAAGCCCGACTGTGCCGAAACCGAGTATGAAAACGGGAACAGGTAAGGGGGCGTGTCCTGCTGAGCCGGGGGCACCCTGCCTTCTCCCCAGATCCCGTGGGGGGCAGCAAAGTGCAGGAAGGAGAAGCAGAGAGCGCTCCTGCTCCGGGCCTCTTGCCGCAGGGAGGGGCAGTTTAATCAGCTCCTCGACTTGGCGATGCAATTTCCATCCCTTGGTCGATGAGGGGGGACTGCGGGGCCAAGCTCCCGGCCCCAGCAGCTAACCCGCCGCGGCTCTGCCTCTGAAATGTATTAAGAGCAGCAGGACCTAGAAAAAGCCGGCAGATACATCTAAAAAGCAGCGGTACGGTGCCTGGGACGGGGAGTGAGCCAGGGCTGATTCCCAGCTTGTGCCTGGTCCCCGCTACCCCCCAGCGCCCCCCCCCCTCCCCCCCCCCGTACCGGCTCCTGCTCCCTCCCTTGCTGCCTCTGATAGCGGCGCTGGGGGAGGGGAAGTGACTAGACCAGGGACTACTCGACTATCAGATAAGCTTATGCCATCAGATAGTCGACCAGTCGCATCCATCCCCAGTCCATAAGGCAGACTAGTATTCAGCTTCTCCCGCTGCTCGCTTGACTTCTGCAGAGCTAACGGAAAGACTCTGGCCCCCAAGTTCACAGAGCGCTGTGGCTGCGATGTGCAGGTAGCTTGGTGGAAAAGGGAGAGACTTTTCCAAGGCTGATACAGGGAGGAGGGAGAAAAGTTATTCTCCATAACTCTGAGGACAGGCCAAGCAGCAATGGGCTTAAACTGCAGCAGGGGAGGTTTGGGTTGGACATTAGGGAAAAGTTCCTGCCTGTCGGGGGGGGTCAAACACTGGAATAAGTTGCCCCGGGAGGTTGTGGAATCCCCATCCCTGGAGATATGGAAGAGCAGGGGTGGCCTAGACGGTGCTGGGTCCTGCCGGGGGGGTCTTGGTGACGTCTTGAGGGCCCTGCCAGTTCCGTGGTCTGTGCCTGTGGCTCGGATTATGCTGCGAGGTGGCAGAGGTGACAGTTAATGGCTGGAGTCGCATTGGGGTTCTGCCGTTGCTGCCGGGGCCTGTGCCCTAGCACCCGGGGCGTTGCGGGGCGGACACACAGCAGCTGATAGACTGACCTGGTTCCTCTTCGTGTCCTTTCCAGATCCTGGTTTTATTTCAGCGTGAAGGGAGGCGCTCCCGGCAAGCTGATCAAAATCAACATCGTGAACATGAACAAGCAGAGCAAACTCTACTCCCAAGGCATGTCGCCCTTCGTCAGGACCCTGCCTGTCCGGCCCCGCTGGGAGCGCGTCCGGGAGCGGCCCACCTTCGAGGTATCCGTGCGGTGAGCACGCCGGGGGGTGCTGCTGGTGGATCGGTGCGCTGGGCTCGGGTCGGTAGCTCAGCGGACACCGGCCGACGGAGGGGCTCGCTTTGGACAGGAAGATGGGAACTGCTCGGCCAGGGAGTCGCTCGTCTCCCCAGGCCAGCTGGACATAGGGTCTGGGTAGACGCAGAGCGTGTTATTTCAGAGCAGCGCTAGTTATTCCGAGAGCCTTGCCGTGTGGAGCCCAGAGGGTTTACTGACTCGGAAGGAAGAGTTGTTAGCAGAGGAGAGCGGGTGACGCGGGTACTCAAGGGGGCTCTCTGGGTGGTCCCCGGGGCGCGGGAGTGACCTGTCACAACCGAC